GTTCTTAGGATAGATACCCAGTAATGGGATGGCTGGGTGATAGGGTATTTCTATTTTTAACTTTTTGAGAAATCTCCATACTGTTTTCCATAGTGGCTGTACCAGTTTGCATTCCCACCAACAGTGTATGAGGGTTCCTTTTTCTCCACAACCTCTCCAACATTTGTCACTCTTGGTTTTGGATGTTTTTGCCAATCTAACGGGTGTAAGGTGATATCTTAGTGTAGTTTTGATTTGCATTTCCATGATGGTTAGCGATGATGAACATCTTTTCATGTGTCTATTGGCCATATCCATATCTGCTTTTGAGAAATGTCTGTTCATGTGCTCTGCCCATTTTTTGATCGGGTTGTTTGTTTTTTTGTTGTTAAGCAGTGTGAGTTCTTTGTATATTATGGAGATTAACCCTTTGTCGGATAAGTGGCTTGTGAATATTTTTTCCCAATTAGTGGGCTGTTTTTTTGTTTCAATCCTGTTTTCCCTTGCCTTGAAGAAGCTCTTTAGTCTGATGAAGTCCCATTTGTTTATTCTTTCTATTGTTTCCCTCAACTGAGGAGTTACAGTGTCCGAAAAGATTCTTTTGAAACTGATGTCAAAGAGTGTACTGCCTATATTCTCTTCCAAAAGACTTATTGTCTCAGGCCTAATCTTTAGGTCTTTGATCCATTTTGAGTTTATTTTGGTGTGTGGTGAAAAAGACTGGTCAATTTTCAATCTTTTGCATGTGGCTGTCCAGTTTTCCCAGCACCATTTGTTGAAGAGACTTTCTTTTCTCCATTGTAGGCCCTCTGCTCCTTTGTCGAAGATTAGCTGTCCATAGATGTGTGGTTTTTATCTCTGGGCTTTCAATTCTGTTCCATTGATCTGTGGACCTGTTTTTGTACCAGTACCATGCTTTTTTGATCACTGTAGCTTTGTAGTATGTTTTGAAATCGGGGATTGTGATTCTGCCGGCTTTGTTTTTCTTGCTCAGGATTGCTTTAGCAATTCGCGGTCTTTTGTTGCCCCATATGAATTTTAGGATTGTTTGTTCAATATCTGTGAAGAATGTTCTTGGGATTCTGATTGGGATAGCATTGAATCTGTATATTGCTTTAGGTAGTATGGACATTTTAACTATGTTTATTCTTCCAATCCATGTGCAAGGAATGTCTTTCCATCTCTTTATGTCATCGTCAATTTCTTTCAAGAAAGTCTTGTAGTTTTCATTGTATAGATCCTTCACTTCCTTGGTTAAGAGGATTTCATCATTTCTTATGGCTGAGTAGTAGTCCATCGTGTATAAATACCACATCTTCTTTATCCATTCATCCCTTGATGGGCACCTAGGTTGCTTCCATGTCTTGGCTATTGTGTATACTGCAGCAATGAACATGAGGCTGCAAGTATCTTTATGCCTTTGTGTTTTCAAGTTCTTTGGATAAATACCCAGCAGTGGGATAGCTGGATCATATGGTAGATCTATCCTTAATTTTCTGAGGATACTCCACACTGCTTTCCATAGTGATTGCACCAGTTTGCACTCCCACCAGCAGTGTACGAGGGTTCCCTTCTCTCCACATCCTCTCCAACATTTGTTGTTTCCTGTCTTGTTAATTATAGCCATTCTGACTGGAGTGAAGTTCATTTAAAATCTTAGTCTAAGATTTATATGTAACACTAAAAAAAACACAGAAGAACCCACTAAATTAAACTGTCTCCATTTTTTCTTTTGTCTTTGTTGATTTTCTTTTGTGGGATAACGGATTGGTTTTGTTTTTAAAAATTTATTCAATTTCCTTTTCCTGTATTAAGAAAATGATATCATTGTATAAGTAGTTTTGGCTATCTCAGCGATTTAAAATTAATGGTGTATGTGCAGTTATGTACATATTATGCACAGGTCCTTCCATCTTTACCCCCAAACCTGTATATTCTTAATTATAAGACAAGGTTTTGTTTTTTTCCAAAAGCATTGTCACCCAGAAAAGGAGAGACATTTGAGCCTTTGTAAAAATTTTATATTGTAAGGTGTTCTCTCAATTACTTTATTTTGAAATACAGAGTGTCAGTTGAGGAGAGCACTCAGCCTGAAATAGCCTTAATTAGTGCTGATTTTGGATACTTAGAGAAGTTATCTGACAGAAATCCTAAAAAGGGAAATAAAAGAAATTTAACACAGGTTTGTTAAGTGTTTCTTGGAAAATGAATTGAAAACTGCAAGCACTGAATATTGTTTAATGAGCCTGTTGATCACTTTCAAAAGCAATGTGTGATCAGAATAGCGTTTACCTTTGAAAAGCTGGACTGGTGGAGGTAGGGGAATGGGCTGGAGGACATATATAAGAGGGGCTTCAACTTTATAGTAATTTGTTTCTTTTAGAGAAAAGAGAGAAATTTGAAGCAAATGTGGGAAAGTGTTAAAAGTTGACAAGCTACGTGGTGATAGTGATGTTCATCATATTGTTCACTCTACTTTCCTGTGTGCTGAAAATATTTCATAATCAAAACAACATTGTGGCTATGTTGTAGTGATGGAAACAGTGCTATGTATCAATCATAGATGGAAATAAAGATAATTATTTTCCCGGGAAACTATCAGATGACTCATTATGGCTCTAAATACGATGAATGGCCAGTCCCGGTGGCCCAGTGGTTAACTTTGGTGTGCTCCACTTCACTGGCCTGGGTTCCGTTCCCAGGCACAGACCTACACCACTTGTCCATCAGTGGCCATGCTGTGGTGGTGGATCACATACAAAACAGAGGACGATTGGCAACAGATGTTAGCTCAGGGTGAATCTTCCCCAGAAAAGAAAAATAATAAAGATGATGAAGATTGTAGGGGAGGAAAAATAACTTTCCCTCTACCCTTCTAGGTTCTCAGCTTAGACCCCACCTATAATAAAAGAGATGAGCAAAAGAAAAGCAGACCATTTTACGTCTACACATATGTACGTGTACATATGGGAGCCCCACAAAGATATGAGACTCAAAAGACAGCCAGGCAACTAAGCTAAGGAAAGGGAAAGGGGTCTGGGGCTTCACAGTGGGGTTGGGTTGGGTAGGGGCTCAAGGCAATTCATAAGGTGAGAGGAGGAAATGGTTGGTAAACAAACGTTTGCCCTGCCATGCAGTTAAGTCTCTCAGACGAAACAGTGATCTCTGGTAATAGCCTCCTCCTGGTACAGGCCTCAGTCCCCCTTTCTAATTTCTTTTAGGTGGTTAGTGGGAGGTAAAAAGCTTTTCCTGAGTCTGCTAGGTCTTGATGCCTTCAGCTCAAAATAATCCACATGCCAAAGTGGCTCATTCTGAGGTGGCTTGTTCTGAACCCCCTCAAGATAGAGGTGGAAAGTGTGGTTTCATGAAATGTGAGATTGGGAAAATAACAATATTTGAAATCTAGTTTTTTATGTAAAGTAATTTCAAATATGTACTTGCATTTTAAAAAATGGATTGTTATTTTCTGGGTTTATTAGGCATAAACATTCATTTCAATTTTGGTATTTTGTAATATAGTAAAATATTTGATTTGGATAAATAACACTTAAAATAATCAAAGAGAAAAATTTAGTTGATCTAAAAAAGTTTTATTTCACACTTCATGAAGTGGGCAGTCTCCACTCTCAAGAGGCCAGAGAACTGCAAAGTCAGGGAAGAGGCTGCAGGCTTCTATAGAAAGAGGCGAGCAGGGAATGTCAACGGAGGAAAAAGAAGCACCTGCAAACAAAAGGAGAGCATTTCTTTGGGGTCTTAGAATTGCAGTTCGGGGAACACAGGTTCCACAGCAGCCAGAAAAGTGTCCCCCTGAGGAGTAAAAGTCAGGAGTTTTTATGAGCAAAAAGGAGAAACCAGAACAACCACCTCAGTTATTTGTTAGGGAGAGTCAAGTTATGTGCAGCTCTTTGGCTTACTCAAGGACATCTTGTTACCAGAAAAAGTGTATTTTTGCACAGTCTTTCAGAAAGTCCTTTCTCAGCAAATAACTCCCTTTTGGCAGGTCAACAAGGTCAGCACAGTTTCTTTTTCTTTTCTTTCTTTCTTTCTTTCTTTCTTTCTTTCTTTCTTTCTTTTCTTTTTTTTTTTTTTTTTTTTGAGGAAAATTGGCCCTGAGCTAACATCTGTGCCCATCTTCCTCCATTTTTTTAATATGTGGCACACCTGCCACAGCATGGCTTGATAAGGGGTGCATAGGTCCGTGCCTCGCATCTGAACCAGCAAACCCCCAGCTGTTAAAGTGGAGCACATGAACTTAACTGCTACACCACCTGGCCAGCCCCAGTTTCATATTTTTAACAAGATGGAGTCCGGGATACAAAATTGAGTCGCTGTTGTCAACTCATTTCACAGAAACAATGAAGAAGTACTTGGTTTAAGTTGATTGGCTGGGGTTACATATCTGATCTTACTTAGAAAGATCAAGGAGCAAGGAAATAAGTATAGAGCCCACAGTTGGCTTGGCGTTTGGGATGGGCTGAGTGGATATATTGCATTTCTGGTCAATCAGAGCATTTACAGGGACACAAAAATTATCAAAGTTTAGCTTTGCTGACATGGTACCCAGGGGAGGAGTGGCTCCAGCTTGGGCCTAGAAATGTATTTCAACAGTACTAATCAGTAGAACTTATTTAATATACTATAATCAGCCATATCAGTTGTTTGTCTGTTGTATATTTAGGTTTACTCTTCTGAGCTATTTGTAGCAGGAGCCTAGAAACTGAATTTCTTTTAGCATACTTCATGCATCTCTGGCATTAAAAATAGCAAGGGAGGGGAGTTCTGGATATAATTCAGTTTCTTATCCACCATCAGGATAATGTGATAGGCACATGATCCAATCATCCTCCTTTTTAATTTAAATAACAGGCTAATTAAGGACGTTAAAAAGTATAATAGAGTTTTCTGATCTGCTAATGCATTATGGTTCAATAGTATTATACTTCTTTAATAGAACTTTTATAAATGGGCACAGTTTGAGATGCCGAGTTTCCAACAGATGTAAAAAAGTTTTCCACTTTTAGGTACAAAAGGAAGAGAACGTCTTCTGGACTTGATTGCCACGTTTTTGGTACTACAGTTTCTTCGCACCAAGTTGGATCAAGAGGGAATAGTCTTCAAATCACTGATGAAATTGGATGACGCTTCCATTTCCAGGTGGCTTTCATTATAGCATTAAGCAACTCACGTACATTTTCAACCATTTCTTAATGAAACCTTATGAGAAGCTACACAGACTGCTAAGTACAAAGAGAATTTGTTCACAGGGAATATCTTGCCTGCACTTTTCTGTCATAGGCAGGGCTGACACACTATTTTTGCCTCTTGGATTGCACAGGAAACTGGGATGCAGAGCGTTTAAGTGTAGCTTACACTGGTGCCCAGATCTCTGGCTCCTTATTTAGTACTCTTCACTACAGTATATTGATTCTATGTGATTCTGGAAAATCCACAATATGATTGTTGGGACCAGACTAGTTGTTCCCAACAATTGCAGGGCCTGGGACAAGAATACAAATGGAAACCCACATACTGTATGTCTAAGTATTTAAAAGTTATAAATCAAATTAGGAGGCTGTTAAATAAAATATGTTCTGTCAACCTAAAAGGCAAATTCATCTATTTACCCTTAAAATGAGTTTATTCGGGAATAGCCAAAGAATTGCAATTCTAGATGTGCATGCTATGGCAAACCACAGGCAAGTCTGGAAAACAAAGGAGGGGAGCTGCTTTTATAGACAAAAAAAGGAGAGTAGGGAGGGGCTCTACTAAAAGAAAACCCATTGGGGGAAAGGAACAGTTCAGGGTGGCAACAGCTTCTCGTTGGCTGGGCTGTTGCCAGGTGGGGAGAGAAGTCTTCCTTCAGTAGCAGTTATGCTTCCTGTGGGAGACGCAAGTATGGCTGTCTTCCTGCTTGGTGTAATTGATGATGTATGGCGGAGCTGACAGCCCACTGCAGGCCTTCCCAACTCCAATTTAGTTAAGGTCTCTTTTACTAATTTCCACAGTTCTGAAGTCATACCTTGACAAATACAACTTCATAACCACCTAGAAGACCAGGTTCAAATTCAGAATTCTGAGACCACTTGAAGTTTTGATGCAAAAACGTGGCAGTGTGGAGAGAGCCAGTTCTGGGGCCCTGGCCCCCAGCCCTTGGCTGAACCCTGGCACCACAAGTGGTCTGAGTGTATGAATACCCCTTTACCCATCAAAACTCCAGCCATATCCCATGCAAATGGTCACCCCTTGTATGTGTGTGTCTACACACACACACAAACACACACACACACACACATTGCAATTTGCTTATGCTTTTTTAAAAGGCAGGATAAGGAGAAAACTAATAAAATATTATCTATAGGGGAAGGGGGAGGAGACAAGGATGGAGGCCAGGTTTCTCCTAATGTACCTTGTTTTATGGTTTTTACTTTGAAACTATGTAAATATTTTACATAATAAAGATCAGATATCAGAGAATAGAGATTAAACATGTTCAATTATACTATGGAATGCAATCAGCTATATCTGGAATGTGAGGAAATGATGGCAAAAGAAGAAAGAGGGGAGAGGTGGAACCTAAAAATTAAAGGACATATGAACCAAAGGCAATGTGTAGACCTTGTTTGGATCCTGATTTGAATAAAACCCATGTGCTAAAAAAACAAAAAAAAAAAGGACAGTTAGAGAAACTTAAACACTACCTGGATATTTTGTGTTTTAAATAATTATTTAAAACTATTTTTAAGTGTCATGTTTAAGAAAAAGTTCTTATTCCTTAGAGTTACATATTTACAGAGGAAATTAAAATAAATAAGTAGACCTGTTTTTACCCTCTCACAAAGACTGATTAAATTCTCTATTCCCAACAGCATCAAACACAAAATAGGTACCCAGAAAAGAATTAGTTGAGCGTTTTACTAAATGTAATTTATATGTCCATTTTAAAAAAGCAACACCTCCACATTAGTTTGCCAGAGCAACTCTTTGAGAAAGATGGAAATTTATTAAATGAATATCAAGAAAAATGCTTGAGGGGCCAGGCTGGTGGCACAGCAGTTAAGTTCGCACGTTCTGCATTAGTGGCCCAGGGCTCACTGGTTTGGATCCCAGGTACAGACATGGCACCGTTTGTCAAGTCATGCTGTGGCAGGTGTCCCACATATAGAGTAGAGGAAGATGGGCATGGATGTTAGCTCAGGGCCAGTCTTCCTCAGCAAAAAGAGGAGGATTGGCAGCAGATGTTAGCTAAGAGCTAATCGTCTTCAAAAAAAAAAAAGAAAGGAAGAAAAAAATGCTTCAAAGAACTAGTTGATGGGACTGAAAAGTTAGGATTTGATTTAATAGGCACAACCAAAGAGGCACTTCTATCTAGTTCATTTTCCAACTGACAGCCATTTAGACCAAGTATTAATAACTTTGAACCTACTTTTGAATTGCAGTATCACAAAGTTTTAAACCAATATTTTCAAAAATAAGTATATTCCATCACATTGTTCTTACTATATTACTATTATTGTGAGAGCAAAATGGTTTGTTGACACTTTAATAAATAAAACTATTTTAAGTAATTTTTATTTCCTGTTCCTTGCATATTTAAAACTTTTCTTTCTATTTTTTCTACTTCATGGTGTAATAACATTAATGTAGTAGTATATTACTTGCAGGTGTATGAACACAATTTTCATACTAGGGGAATGGTCAGTCAAAAGTTTGGAGGCCAACTGAATTGAAGGAAGGCGAGTTGAATTAGAATATTTAAAATCAGTTTTGTTGCCTTTAGTAGTTAGTAGACTAATAATGATTGGGAAACATGGGTCTTTGAACCACTTTGGGCATGTTCATGTCATTGTGATAGTCAGCTAACTTTGTTGATTGTCTGCTCTGTACTAGGGACTGTTAAACATGTTAAATTCACCCATTTCGTTAAAGCCCACAACAAACCCATAGGATCTCGCATTATTATCGTAACTGAGGACACTGAGACTTCCAGTGTTGAAGTCAAGCTGCACAATATCACATAGCCAATATTGTGTGATTGCAGTGTCCGCATTTGCACCCATCTCTTCACACCACACTGTACTGATGGCCCTTTCCCAGTTAACAGGGAGAAAAAATCAGCAAGATGGAGAGAATTTCCCAATTTTTAGTTTCCCCCTCTTAGAATTTTCTTTGAAACTTTAGTATATGTTACTGCTTGTTTGCTAACAAGTTCTAGCAGATGACAAAACAAATGATGTAGCTAACTAATGTTAATGAAAAATCTCAGAATTTTTCTTTGTCTTGAATAAATTTGAATATGTGGCAGTCTTGAATATTTGACAGCATTTTATGGACCCAGACTTGACATTTTTACGTTATGCACATTTTACTAGTAAGTTATTCCTGGTTTGTGTGATAGAATTAAATATATGCCAGTTTCACGGGTAGCCCTCAGGTTCTCTGCAAGGAACTAATCAATTCTTGGTACAGTAAAAAGGAGAGAAAAATGGAAGTCTAGTTTGTAGAATAGTATTGAGTTTGTACTTGAAGAAAGGATAGGATTTAGATGGAGAAGAATGGGAAGGGGTCACAAACCAATATATAAAGGCTAGAAAGCGTAGGGTGTCCTGGAGGCAGCAAGGAAGTCTGTGAGGCATAGTGGAAGCTGGAAAGTGGTGAGTATAATATACTTAAGAATGCACTGAATAAGTTAAAAGCGCTGTCAGGCTGGTAGAACTTTCATAAAATGTCAAAGACAACTACTTTTATTAAATATCTTAATTTTTAACAGAATTATTTTGTCTGATATAATGTACTGGATTTGGTGCCACATTACATTTCGTATGTAATATATTCTGAAATTGATGGAAACTTGTTTTTAAAAAATCTAGGAATATTCCCTGGGCTTCTGAGAAAATAAAGAAAGCAAGTGAATGGCTAAGAAGAACTGAAGGACAATATCCATCTATCTGCCAACGGCTGGAATTGGGTAAAGACTGGGACTCTGCCACGAAGCAGCTACTGGGAATCCAGCCCATGAACACCACTTCTCCTCTCCATGGAGTTCTTCATTACAGTAAAGACTGAATCAAATGAACTTGTATTTTATACTTTTTTCATGCTTCCATTTATAAAATGATCAGATATTAATAGATACCTATAATGAAATTTACTTATGATTGTATTCATTGTAGCAGTCAATGACTTTAAAATAAATGGAAGCAGAATTGTTATTTTAATGAACAAGTAATAATAAAAATTACAATATTACAGATTTTTGGTGTTTAAATGTTTTAAGGTGATGAGAAACATATCTGGATGGTTCTGGAGGCTCATTTCCTTCTCCCCTTTCAGGAGTCTAGTAGAGAACTGGCCCAGCTGGACTAAGCAAGCTGGGAAGAAACAGGTCTTTGGCTACTGCCCGTGTTCCTGGCATGCAAGCCTGTTTCCAGGGCCCTGGGTATCCAGACCTTGGCCCTCGGCATGCATGCTCCCTGATCTGGTTCCCAGTCTGCAGACCTCTTGTTACTTAGAGAAACTGGGTGACCCAAGCAATTCTTTCATAGATCTTGCTTTTGGTCTGGCGTCCAAAATCTCATCACCAAACCCAAGGTCATCTGGATTTTCTCCTACGTTATCTTCTAGAAGTTTTATAGTTTTGCATTTTACAGGTAGGTCTATGATCCATTTTGAGTTATTTTTTGTAAAAGGTGTAAGATCACTGTCCACCTTCCTCCATAGCACCACTTCCAGACCATTACTGCTATACCTTAATGTAAAAGCCAGGTTTCTTCGAGATAATTGAGTCTTGGCAGAATGCTTATGATCCTGCTGGTACCTGAGATGATGGGAGGCTTGTGACGAGCTGCCAGGAGGCCTTCTCCCACCTGCCTCCTTGTCTCCCTGGTAGGCTATCATGAGACGGTTTCTCATCACCTCCCAGTTCTGATGAGGTATGAGGCTCAGGATACGGCTGCAGGCTAAAAATCTCCCTAGGTGCATCTAGAATTGGCTCCTCAAAAATGATGTGTCCTCCAAGTCAAATTGCAATTATCTAGCCCTTTTGGAGTGTGGGACAAGGAGCAAGGGGAGCTGGCATCTTTGACTACTCTTCCTTTGCTGTTTATGTAAGTAGTAAACCCTCTAAATCTAAATGAGCTTGTTATATCTTTACTTGCTGAATCAGTCAGGTCTTGGCTTTGGGCCTGCCTGCTTATTTGCTTGACATAATCACAGAAGATAAACTTTTTAAAAAAAATTATTTTATTGAGGTCGTATTGGCTTATAACATTGTGTAATTTCAGGTGTACACTATTATATATCAGTTTCTGTATAGACTGCATCATGTTCACCACCAGTAGTCTAGTTTTTATCCATCACCATCCATATGTGTCCCTTTACCCCTTTCGCCCACCCCTCACCCACTTCCCCTCTGGTAACCACCAATCTGTTCTCCTTATCCATCTCCTTATCCATAGCATCTTCCACATATGAGTGAAGTCATATGCTGTTTGTCTTTCTCTGTCTGACTTGTTTCGCTTGACATAATATCCTCAAGGTCCATCCATGTTGTTGCAAATGGCACAATTTTTTTTTATGGCTGAGTAATAATCCATTGTATATATACCACATCATCTTTATCCATTCATCCATTAATGGGTATTTGAGTTGCTTCCATGTAGAAGATAAACTTTTGGGGGGTTATTAGATTAAGGGATTTAAAAGATTGATAATACCCAGTAGCACAGAGTCTGTAGGTAAACAGATACTTTCTTACATTGCTACTGGAAACATATACTAGTAAAACAAAATCACTACGCTCCTTGACCTATAAATTCCACTAATAAGAATTCCAATTCTGGAAATTCATCTTCTAGAAATATGGATACACACACATATTCATATAGTGTATATATATATATATTCAGTACAATTGCAGAGCAATGTGCAATAGGGCTAACTTTAAAAATTATATAAATATGGAGACTGGCCTGGTGGTGTAGTGGTTGAGTTTGCATGCTCTGCTTCGGCGGCCCAGGGTTCGCAGGTTCAGATCCTGGGCGTGAACCTACACACTACATGTCAGGCCATGCTGTGGTGGCATCCCACGTACAAAAAATAGAGGAAGATTGGCACAGATGTTAGCTCAGTAACAATCTTCCTCAAGCAAAAAGAGGAAGATTGGCAAGAGATGTTAACTCAGGGCCAATCCTCCTCACAAAAAAAAAATAATTATATAATATAAATAACAATGGAATACTATTCAGCAATAAAAAGAGACAAAATTGTCCCATTTGCAGCAACATGGATGGCCCTTGAGGGTATGATGTTAAGCATGATAAGTCAGACAGAGAAAGACACACACCATATGATTTCACTCATATGTGGAAGATAAACAAACACATGGGTAAGGAGAACAGATCAGTGATTACCAGAGGGTAAGTGGTTAGGGGAATGGGCAAAAGGGGTAAAGGGGCACATATGTATGGTGATGGATAAAAACTAGACTATTGGTGGTCGGCATGTTGCAGTGTATAGGTAAACCGACATATAATAATGTACACCTGAAATTACACAATGTTATAAACTATTATGACCTCAATAAGTTATATAAATATAAATGGCTGTTTATATATGTATGAGATAAAAATCTGTCATATCATGTTCCAAACTGGTTACCTTTGAGGAATAAGAACTTTATTTCTACCATAAATTTTTTATTTGAAAAATCTTTACAACACGCATATATACTTAAATTTTTTATTTCAAAAATACATAAAAGCAGAGAAAATAGTATAATGGACCCCATCAAGATTTAAAATACTTTGCCAAGTTTTTCTAAATTTAGAACAGTCTTCTCTTCCCTCTTCTTTTCCTGTTGACTTGAAGAAACAGGGTGAGTTTTGCTATAGGATGTTCCATATTCTGGATTTGTCTGATTGTTTCCTTTCCGCTTTCCCCATATTTCTTATAAACTGGAAATTAGATCATAAGGCCTGAGTAGATTAAGCATCAACATTTTTGTCAACAAGAACCATATAGCCTGGTTGGTCTAGTTACTCAGCTTTTAATAGCGCTAACATTGGTCAGTGGGTCTCCAGCAGGAAGTTGTGTTCTCTTACAACCAACAAATCATCTCTGTGGGGCTTCTTTGCCATCCAATTCCTCATCAGTCTTTCACCTAATGGTTTTGTTGCCTGAATCATTTTCACAAAATATTGTGATTCTATATCTTTTCATCTACACTTATTAGCTGGAATTCTTCTGAAAAAATGAGCTTTCTCCTATCAACTTTTATTTGTTATAATATTTAAATTATATTTACTATATATATTTATTATTTATATATAGAATATATTTTGTAATATTTTTAAAATATATCTAATTAGAATTGTTGTGTGTCTTCCTTTATAGATGACAGTCCCTGGAGGGCAGAGACTATAATCATTGTATTTTTAATGCCTAGTATAGTCATGGTACATAGGATGCATTTAGTAAGCTAAACAAATAATAAATCAGTGAGCCAACTCACAGGTTTTGTGATCCTCTCCAAAGGGATCTGCTGGATAATAGGTTATTCTTTAGTTCACATCAGAGAGTTAATTTAAATGAGTTTATCTTGTAAATTAAGTTCACTGTTCAAAGAAACAAAAATGGAAATAAAAGGCTCCCTGCCATAAAGACACTGCTTATTTGCAATTCAAAGTGAGAAAAATATTTTATCCTTTTTTTTAAATTGCAGTAACATTGTTTTATAACTTTATATAAATTTGTGACTTATTTCGCTTATCATAATACCCTCAATGTCCATCCATGTTGTCACAAATGGCAGGATTTCATCATTTTTTATGGCTGAGTACTATTCCATTGTGTATTTATAACACATGTTCTTTATCCATTCATCCCTTTTATGGGCACCTGGGTTGCTTCCAAGTCTTGGATATTGTAAATAATGCTGCAGTGAACATAGAGGTGCATATATCTTTATGCATTCGTGTTTTCATGTTCTTTAGATAGATACCCAGCAGTGGAATAGCTGGGTCATATGGCATTTGTATTTTTAACTTTTCGAGGAATCTCCATGCTGTTTTACATAGTGGATGCACCAGTTTGCACTCCCACCAGCAATGTGTGAGGGTTTCCTTTTCTCCACATCCTCTCCAACACATCCTCTTGTTATTTCCTATCTTGTTAATTATAGCCATTTTGATGGACATGAGGTGCTATCTCATTGTAGTTTTGATTTGCATTTCCTTGAAAATTAGTGATGCTGAACATCTTTTCATGTGCCTGTTGGCCATCTGTACATCTTCTTTGGAAAAATATCTGTTCAGATCTTTTGCCCATTTTTTTTAACTTTTTATTAAGATTATGATAGTTTACAACCTTGTGATTTCAGTTGTACCTTATTGTTAGTCATGTTGTAGATGCACCACTTCACCCTTTGTGCCCTCCCCCCAGCCCCACTTTCCCCTAGTAACCACCAATCAGTTCTCTTTGTCTATATGTTTAACTTCCACCTATGAGTGGAGTCATACAGAGTTCATCTTTCTCTGTCTGGCTTATTTCACTTAACTTAATACCCTCAAGGTCCATCCATGGTGTTGTGAATGGGACAATTCTGTTCTTTTTTTACGACTGAGTAGTATTCCATTGTATATATATATCATATCTTCTTTATCCAATCACCGGTTGATGGGCACTTAGGTTGCTTCCAAGTCTTGGCTATTGTAAACAGTGCTGCAATGAACATAGGGGTGCATGGGACTTTTGGAATTGCTGATTTCAAGTTCTTTGGATAGATACCCAGTAGTGGGATGGCTGGGTCATAAGGTATTTCTATTCTTAATTTTTGAGAAATCTCCATACTGTTTTCCATAGTGGCTGCACCAGTTTGCATTCCCACCAACAGTGTATGAGGGTTCCTTTTTCTCCACAACCTCTCCAACATTTGTCACTTTTGGTTTTGGATATTTTTGCCATTCTAACAGGTGTAAGGTGATATCTTAGTGTGGTTTTGATTTGCATTTCCCTGATGATTAGTGATGATGAGCATCTTTTCATGTGTCTATTGGTCATCCGTATATCTTCTTTGGAGAAATGTCTGTTCATGTCCCCTGCCCATTTTTTGATCGGGTTGTTTGATTTTTTTGTTGTAGAGCTGTGTGAGTTCTTTATATATTATGGAGATTAACCCCTTGTTGGATAAAGAACTTGTAAACATTTTTTCCCAACTAGTGCCTTGTTTTTTTGGTTCAATCCTGTTTTCATTTG